AACAGACCAACTAGAAGACGGGGTCTTGCGTCATATGCACTGAATGTGCTTAAATACGATGGAGCTGTGGCCTACTTAAATGGTCTCTCTAGACGATCAGAAGCGAGGGAGCAGTGGTAAAAATTTGCGGTACAAGCTGGTGTAAGACTTCCATCTGCCTTACACCACCGCAATGTTGGCGCAGATTAAGAAAACGTTTTTCCTTCTTTTTACGGTACATTTTCGCCATTTAAATCCGATATCATTATTTGTAGTGTCATATATTTGACGGCGATATCGAAAGCTCCCACTCGTGGAAGCTAGTGCAGGGCATCAGGGTCAAATTTTATTTAATTTTAATACTAATCATTAATATAAATATTTGAAGGTCAGAAGTACAATAATTGCCATCTTCCTTTCAGAGAGCACTAAACGAGATACATTTAAGGAACACCTGCTCTAAGTGTAAATTATGTTATTGGGAAACGTTGTCATTTACTTTTCAGGGAGACAGCAGTCCCAATTTTCAAATTTACTTTTCAGCTTCTCAGGTGGAATGTGTTACTACTAGAATGGTTTTGTATTCTAAAGACATCGAGAGATGTATTTTGTCTCTATTGCCATTTCCTTATAAACCAATAAGGAAATGTTTCTTCTCCAGTCAAAGAAACTGCACTGCATCATTTTGTCTGCTGTCTACTCCGCGACTTGGACACCGAAGTTAAATATTTGGCGAGCAACCTTTCGCAAATTCATTTTAGTGCGGATGACTTGGTGACGACATTTTTCTATGCCTAAATCTTTTCTCACTCCACTCATATTGATGAAATGGGAAACAATATAATTTCTGTTATAATGTCTTTTGAATTAAACGGTCAGCCTTGAACGTGCGTTTTAATTGGAGGTAAAACATTTGGCATAAATTTATTAGCTCATTAAGATGTTCTGAAGATTTTTATTTAAGGTATTTGTTCGAGTTTATTGACCACGCATGGATGTTTTATGTTTAAGGCGGGAAGGCGTTTCAGAGCAAGAATTCGTGTATTAGACACTCAGCTTTCTTCGATGGTTCCGCCAGTTCAAATTCTAGATCTGAAGTTGCCTAAGTCAAATAAGGAAAAAGTTCTGCGTACGATTACTGGAATGAGCCAACTCTCACGATTCACGCTAAGTTAACACTGAGCAAAGTAAGTTGTGTAAATTTCTTCAACTCTTACTTCAACTCTCTTCCACAATTGACACTAAGTGTCAAAATTCATTTTCGCACGTCCGGCGAATGACACGTACACTTTGGGGGTGTCCAGTGGCGCAATGCTTTAAAAAATAAGGCAAGATTTTTCTAATGGATCTGAGGGAAGGTGGGCAGCCGGTGTGAGGAATCAAAATTGAGGTAGGCACTACTAATATTTCTTGCCTGTCATATGACATGAAAGCAAGAAGGCACTTTCACGTTTCACGTTGATTCATAAATGTTCCATGAATCAGTCAGATGGTCGGTCGCGAATTATTGCGAAGTGTTAGAGGATCCTAATTTTTTTCAGAGTCTTTCCAGAGCTACATGTGATTTATTTTGTATTGGTCACATCACAAGCACAAGTCGACGCTCCCTCAATTCACTGTCTTCTGCATCCCTCTTCTTCAACCATTGGCCGCATAAATTCGCTACCGGGCCCAATCGCCTCCTGTGGTTCGAGTTTCATGTTTTGTTAGGGCTAACGTGATAGGTTACAGCTATTTTCCGTGGGCGTTTTTTGATAAGTGGTTGTTAAACAACCCATTCATTGTTGCAACCCTCATCGAACCCTGCTAATTCAGAGTTGTTTGTAGTTGTTTGTGAGGTTATGATCACGGCTTTTGCTTCTTAATACTGCTGGAACTATTCAATAATGACTGTCTTTAACAACTGAGTACCATATTCCTTTTTTGTTTTTGAACTCTTTGAGGTATCTTTCAGGATTTCAGAGATGGTGAATCATTTATCCATCGCCACTTCTGTCAATTTACGGGCTTGCGATATTTTTTATCGGGATCTCAAATAAAGTGGCGATTTATGTAATGGTTTATGCAATTGCCAATATTCAAGAATATTCCGAATTTCAAATAATATTTCATGTTTTCGATTCTGGGCTCATAATTATATAGATAAGTATTTAAAACATAATCTAAATCTAAAATTTTTTCATCTGAACTTGGCCAGTGATGATTATCTTCTTCGATTGAATCAGGATGTTAAAAAGTCTTCTGGCTCAGGTCTGGGAAGGTTTGTCCTTCCGAGAAAATTGTTTACTTTCGATTTCAAGAATGCATCACGTATAACACTTTGATGTGTATCTGTTTCAGCCCGACTGCCAAAATTAACGAACTAGTTTCAGTAGTAAAAGTTAACGACACATTCCTTGGTTATAAATAGTTTGACATGACCAAAGCAGGATAGAGCTTTAGAAGCCGTAACCGTGGTCACTGCAGCGATAGAAATCATGCTTTCTTTTCATGAAGGCTTCAACTGACCGTAATGCATAATAAAAGGTTATTAAAACCTTAACCGTGGAGGAAACAAAATACATGAAACTGAGGCGCTGGCGGATGTTTCGACGAGAGGTACTCGAGGCGTTGTGACAGCATGAGCAACGGCCGTTTAATGCCGGTTTCTTCGATCCCCTAGCGCAGTTGTGTCAAACAGGTTTCGGTGTGCACGCAGCCCGGCTTAAAGTGCCGGGAGAAAACTTGTTGATTGAAATTCCAAATGCGATCACCGGTGAGAACCACTTGCGCTGTAACTTACTCAAATAAAAGGTATTTAAGGCTGCTAGAAATCGGACTCTGTTCAACACATGTTAAGTCTTGCTATTAAACGATTTCTAGTTCTTTAAACAAAATGCCTCATTTAATGCCTCACCTTGTTAGAAGGAATATTAAATTGAATGCATCATATTGAATGCAGTAGTGACGAAATTACGCTGAAACAGAAGAAGAAATGTCAGGAGGTTAGTGTTGCCATTGCGTGGTCATCGTCATCGATGGCAACAAAGGTTGAACAGCAGAGCAGAGGCAAATTCATTATGATTAACCACTAGAATCCATCTTTCACTTTAATATTAGACAATGTTCAATGCAAAAGACGTATTCCCCATCACACTCAAATTTGGCTAAGAAGGGCGGTTCCTAATTATGTATTATTCTTTAACACTTCTGCTATACGTGCACAGATGTTTTGAAATTATTTCTATCGATTTTAAGGCTATTCGATCAAGTCAAGCAAGACGCATCTTACTGTGAGTCATTATGATACTTTTTTCAGACCCCTATCCGTCAGCATTTGCCCTTTAGTGACAGGGTGATATCATCGCACTTTGAAGATTCTTCTTAGCGTTTTCAGACGCTTGTTAGACGAGCTGCGTTCCGTTTCACGACAGATGATGTTCATCGAATATCGCGAATATCCCTCCTTTCAGGATGATGATCTTCGTAGCCGAGCTTATTGTCTAATATTTCTATATTTGGAGAAAGTAGTCAAAATTCACTGATGCTTGTTAAATCCAAGACATAGAGTACTGATGACCAGCGAAAGTTGGTTCAAACGATATCATTTCAGTGAAACTAAGCGGTTTCCTTTTGTATGTTAAAAAATGATGCTTCTCGACGAGCAGCGAAAGTTTAATCTTAAGCAAATAAGAAGACCTCAATGAAGAAAGAGCTGTGATTGCATTAATTGTTAGAAAAAAATAATTTTTTTTTAATTTTGAGAACCTATCATTATAAATTATGATACAGATCTCACCTAATATCTTTGTAAAATTCCAATTATTTTACACGTAGAAAAACTCAAAACTCCACTATTTAGATCGCCCTACCTATGGAAAGTCCAAACAATTATAATAAAGGAAGCGGCGTAGAATGTTTGAAATTTGGTGACAGGGCGATTACTTTAAAGTGAGGTTAATTCAGTTTGGAAGCGATATTATATTGGGTTTTTGTGTTGACAGTCACACAAAGAAAAAAGCACAAAAAACCGTTATTAATACAGAGTTTCAGTCAGCCAGTAGCGATGATCGCTTATTCTTTATGGACATAGAGGCAGCAGCGTCAGACACTGTCTTCAATGCTCCCAATCGCGTGCTAGAGTCTGGGCTTCAGCAGGAAATCACCTGAGTTTAGAGCGGAATCCATTGAGGCACTCGCCACAGGTCATTCTTGGGTTCCCCGTGGTATTTGGTCTGTCGGTCGATTTAACAATGAGCAAACGGTACCTCATTCGCTTTCGTTTCTGGAGGCATTTGAGAATTGTGTCCAAACCATCGCAGCTGTGACTTCTTATCTGTACACAAATTATTAATACACAGAACAGTAAAATACTCTGTCGATCGATAGACTGGCACCGACAGTTCGAGCATTCCTCAAAGTAAATCTATGGACGCAGTTAGGTGTTTGTTCGAATCGTTTGCAGTCGGTAACTTTTATTTCTAGGCGAGAAGCAAAGGCAAACAGACAGCAAACGACAAACTTTTTCGTAATAGATGTCGTTCGCTCTTGGCGGAAAAAGTATGACGTCATCCATTCGTGAATCACTGTAGTACATGAATCACACTGATAGTTCTTGAACAACCCAATCATCCGAATCGCGTAGATGCTGTAGCTACGTAAACATACAGAAATGTAGTCAGTTGGTGCGTTACCTTCCGTCTTGCTGCAAGTAAAATTAGAACTATAGCATAGTAGAAGGTCAAGGCAATGACTTGAGATGTGAATTCATGCAAAAATATTGTTGATTCTAAAAACGTAGCCAAATCTTTTAAACGTAATATAAATCATCATTCTAAATCATGATCAACGCCGCGGAAAATTTACCAGAAATGTAGTAGGGAAACATTTGCCAGGTCTGAGCACAGTCGAGCAAACTTTTCTCGATCTCTAGTATTACAATGAACCAGAACCTTGGAATCATAAGTTAGCTAGCTACTGGCAGCCAGTGGTCGTTAAATTTCTTTATTTCTTCCAAAGAAACCTGTCTGGGCAAAAGGCACTCTGATTACAAATCAGTAGTGGATAATTCTGAGTCAACGTTTGAAAGAATTCCAAAAAATGGTATTAACGAATGTAAATCTTTTATTCATACTTGCGCCTCTTTGAATTCATCAGCCATAGGTTCAAGGACGTTTTGCAATTCTAAGATCTCATCGTGTTCTCTTAATGAATGGTTGTGACAAGTTAATGGGAAGGAAAGGCCTTTCACGTCATTTTGGTGTGAAGACTGGAAAAATTAAATCAGATCATCAATCATTCACAAAATTTCTGCATAAGTTAGTGTTAGTAGAACTTATGCCTCATACTATGTTAACGATGAAAAAGTAGAAACTGTGGTGTTTTACCACGCGAAAATGGCGCAGACAGCTAAGAACATATGAATTGCACATGTAAGAGGTAAAATGATCACCGTAAGTGAAAATTAAATAATAAATTCGAATAAAAGTAAAATTCATGTGAAAAGTGTGTAAAGTGATGAATGATTAAAAACAAACGATTAATAAATGATTAGTTATCAACGTATTAATTACGTTCTAAAATATTTTGGTTAAGAACTGTGGATCAGTGCGCACAGGTAGTCTTACGGTTGCCAAAATTCTTGCG